TCCCACTCTGCAGGGATGGGAGCAGTGGGGCTCCCGAGGGGATCCTTCCTCCTGCTCCTCCCACCCCTCTGCAGGCAGAGGAGCAGTGGGGGCTCCCCTGGCTCCTCCAGCCTGTCCAGTGCCCACGTGAGGCTGAGAGGGATCTCCAGTCACAGCAGGGCTTCTCCCTTGGCATTCCATGGGGTGTCTGTGCCGTTGGCCAGCTGGAGACACCCACAGCCAGGGAAAGGTGCTCCCAGCTCCGTGATGGAAGCTGTTAGCCCTGGCTCAATCTCTGCCCCTTGTTCTCCCACGGCAGCTTTTTCTTGCAAATCCTTCTGTCCCCTCTCTCCTCTCACCACCACCCATCCCTGACATAAAACCTTGTTCCTCCTTCTTTCCAGCTTAAATTTTGCCACTGACTTGGCTCGGGACCTGCTGCTCCCGGCGCCAGAGGAGTGGGAGGACCGTGCCAGGAAAATCAAAGTGCCCTTTGATGAGGAGAGGAAATATCACCCTGAGTACGATGGCTACAGCCCAGGTTAGCGGGGAGGCAGTGGCAGCAGCCCATGGAGGTGGCTCAGCCCATGGATCACACTTTTAACCCCGGAAGGATCAGAATTCCAACTGGGTCAGACCTGGGGATGGCAGAGGGGGAGTCCCTGCTGTTGCCGCAGTGCAACAAGCTGGGCTGGGGTGGTTTTCCTGCCTCACTGGATTGTTTCTCATCAGTGGGCTCCAAAACTTAAGAAATTTGGGAACTGTCTGAGCAGCCCTGTCCCCAGGTGAGCCGGTGAAACAGGCAGATGTGGTCCTGCTGGGGTTCCCACTGATGCATCCCATGAGTGCCGAGGTCCGGAGGAACGACCTGGAGATGTACGAGCCCGTCACCGACCCGGCCGGGCCAGCCATGACCTGGGTGAGGAGAGGGCAGAGCCCAGCCTGGGATTCACCCCTGGGACAGGGGTGCTCCATCCAGGGAGCACTGCAGGGCTGGGATGTGCCCTGGAAATGCTCACTCTGGATGGAGGGGTGGGGAGGTGGTGCTGCTCCCCGTGCTCTCACTGCTCCCCCTCCGGCAGAGCATGTTTGCCGTGGGCTGGCTGGAGCTGAAGGAGCTGCAGAGAGCCCGGAGCCAGCTGGAAAAGTGCTTCAGCAACATCACGGAGCCTTTCAAGGTGAGTGGAGGGGCTGCAGATCCCTCCTGCTCCCAGGCAGGTGACAATGGGATTGAAATCCACGGAACTGCCTGGAGCATCCCAAATCAATTCCTGCATCATCTCTTTCTCCGGCTGGTCAGGTCTGGGTGGAGAACTCGGATGGGTCAGGAGCTGTGAACTTCCTGACAGGGATGGGTGGATTCCTGCAGGTCGTCCTCTTTGGCTTCACGGGGTTCAGGTGAGACCTGCTGTGTCACTTTTAACTCCTGAGCAGCCACTTGTCCCTTGAAATGTCCCTGTTTGGCTGGGGCGAAGTTGGGAACAGGTAAGAGGCTTGTGACAGGTCGCATTTGGGAAAGCAAAATGCCATTCCCTAAGCCTGTTCTCTGCTTCAGCAGCAGCATCCTCCTGTCTCCTTTGGATGTGGTGAGGAAACACCTCCTGCAGACTCCCCGTGGCCTCCCTGCTCACACGGGGCTCCGGGAGCCTCCCTGGAGTGAAGTGCTGAGCAGGCATCGCCTCAGCTTTAAAATATCCTGGGAAAACATGGAGCTGCTCATGTAATTTCAGAGCTGTGGTTGTTTCCACCCTGGAGCCGCCGTCTTTTCAGCCTATTCCTGGTTTAATTGAGGCTGGATCAAGCCTTTTGATTCCCAGTGAAAACTTCCAGCCCTAACCATGTGTTTTCACTCCACGTGTGTGGCCAGAGCCGCTGGGAAACCCACCCCATTCCCTGGCGGAGCTGGGTGTGAGCTGCCCTGTTCCCAGCTGGAAATCTGGGCTTTGGCCAAGCTGGGAGGTCTCCAGGTGCCCAGTGTGTGCCGGGTCAGGCCCCTCGTGGCACAGGCTCAAGCCACAGCCTTGGGGCTCTGGCCACATTCCAGAGGTGGCGGTGACACAGCGCAGCCACGCTCCCGCCTTTCCCGCCGTGGGACACGGATCCTGTGTAGTGCTGGGGCTCCCCAGGCCCCCAAACCTCCCCTGAGCCCTCTCCAGCCCCTGAAGCCCTCTCAGCCTTCTGGAGCTGGTGGTGGAGAGCTCTGGTGCGCCGAGGTTTGGGTCGGGGACAAGAGGGGCCGTTGTTTTTCCTCACCCAAAGCCAACGCCCACACAGGCAGCTTGGCTTTGGCTCAGGGCCGAAGGGAGAGCTGGGATGTTTGTTCCATTGTTTCTGGGGAAGGAGCACTGCTGGGGATACAGAGCACACTGATGAGGTGATTAAAAGATGGTTTATTTATTGCAAAATCAGTCTCTTGGAAGGCTGGGACCTACATTCAATGCCATCACATCAGAAGCAGTTTTAATTTTAGTTGCAATGTCTTTTATATACTTCTTATCATATATTTCTTATCATATCTTCTACATTTCTTAATCAGCTGCTTCTACAAAGCTCGCTAGGATGTTCACAAACCGATCATTAATTTGCCATTATTGCTACAAATGATAGCAAATTGCTACAAGTCATTGCTACATTTTACACCGTGCTGCCGCAATGTGCTTCTTTTTATCCAGTCACACAACTCTACAGACACTTATTGCCGAAGCTTCTACTTTTTGCCAACTCTATAACAAGTTATATTGTTAGACTTTAAAATTTTCTGCTATCTTGCTTAACATATTTATTCACTTCCATGAGGCATATTTCCACCTGCTTAAAACATATTTCTGCTTGCGCTAGAAATCTTTATTCTTACTTCGTGTCTGTTTCACTTTTCTGTTCTAAACCTTCAAGCCTTCTCCAAGGCTTGGGTCAGACACCGCATCCATCTCCATCTCTGAGTCTTGGGAGCTCTCTGTGCCTGCATTTCCCCCAGAGCAACCCTGCCGAGCTTCCAGCCCTGCATCCTGGGGGAGCTGAGGGTCCCCTGCTCTGAGAGGAGGAGCAGGGCATTCCCCAAGCTCTGCCAGCACGGCTGCTGCTGGAGCCAAGCTCTGAGCCGCGGCAGGGAGCTGCGCTGCATTTTTCACTTATGAAAGCTGACCTCATGGAAAGCCCCGGCCCCAGCTGTGGAGCTGGGATGGGATGGGAATGTCTGGGGTGGGCTGTGGGATCACGGCCCCGGTAGTTCCTCACCAGGTGCTCCATCAGTGTGTTCAGGATTTGCCCAGAGAGCCTTGGAAGCACCGAGGACCCTTCCAGACCCCTCTGGTGTGCATGAGGGGATGATGCCCAGAGAGGTGGCTGCTCCCTGACCCCGAGCTGGGCTCCTCTGTGGCTCCTGCTCTTCCCACCCTGACGCGTTCCTGCCTTTCCAGGATCACGAGGTCCGGCCTCCTCTTCGATCCTGCCTTTCCCGATGGTATCACCAAGCTGGAAGTCTCCAGCATCTCCTACTTGGGCAACAAATTGGAGGTCACCATCACCGAGGAGGAGATCAGGATGGAAGTGACTGAGACCTCCCGGGACCCTCCGGCATCTCCGCTGGAAGCTGTGCTGGAGTCGGGACAGCACTTTCCCCTGGGGGAAGGTGTGGCCTGCGTCTGCTCCCGGCAATAATTTGGGCAAGGAACCATTCCCATATCTCACACAAAGCTTTTCTGTTGCAGGGCAGAGTGTGTCCTTCCCCACAGCCCCTGGATGGATCCAGAGGTCGCCCAGCAGGACCCCCTAAAACCTGCCTGATCCGGGTGCTGCCCTCTGGAGCAGCAGAGCCGGGATGCTGCTGCAGGGGGAAGGTAACAGTGGGTGGAAAGGGGGTGCCAGGCTGTGCCAGGAGGCCTTTGCCCCCAGGACTGTGTGTGCCACCTGTCCCTGTGGCCCCAGGGGGTCAGTGGCTGGAGCTGTCACCGTGGCTGGAGCTGTCACCATGGCTGGAGCTGTCACCACGTCTGAGCCCCCCACTCCCCTCCACACATCTTTTAGCTCAGGAGAGGAAACCACGCCTGAAAATGATCATTTCAATTGTGTTTGCTGGACACCCAGGAGTTGTTTATGCTCTCAACATGTTTGTGTTTGTAAGGAAACCCATTCCTGACTCCAGGATCCTGACTCCAGCTCCTCCAGCATGTCCTGCCCTGGTCCTTGCCTTCCCCATGTGTTGCTCTGTGGGCTCAAAGGGCTGTGGAGGCTCAGCCAGTGCTGTTCCACCAGATGAATGATGTTTTGGCACTAAATATTACTCCAAAATATGCAGCTGAAAACCTTTTAACCCCGTGTGGGCAGCACACATCTCCACTCCTGTCATTTGGTGTGTAACAGCCCTCACATGTTTTTAAACCCTTATCTACATTATTCCCACTCTTTTCAAGCAGTTCTGGAGTTAAATCCTTTCTCACTTGGCGTATGAAGGGCTGCAGGAGGCTGGGACACCAGAGATCCGTAGTGTTATCCTGTCAGATGGTGGCAAGGGCAGCGTTTTTCCGTGCTTGAGCAGCCTCGGGGCAAGCAAAGGGCTGCTGTGGCTTTGCTCTGGGACACAGTTTTTGGTGTCCCAGGCATCCCAAGGAGTTCCCGTGCCTGCACAGGGTCGCACGGTACCCCCAGCCCCTCTCTCTGGGCTGCCCATCCTCCTCCCCTCCCCACCCTGCCTGTCCCCGTGCGGAGCAGCCCTGGGTGGGAGCAGGGAATGCCGGAGGCGTTCCCTGCCCCGAGGGGTCTGTCCTGGCCAAGCCAGCCCCAGGAATCTCGGCCCGGTTTATAAAAAGCCCCGCGGCTGCTCCGTGCCCCGAAGCATCTGGGAATGCTTAGGGCTGGAGCAGGGACTCTCCCGCTGCCGTGTAATTAGTGTAATTACTCGGATCTTGCTCCGGCCTCATCAGAGCCGCCAGCCCCTAATTAGCGGCAGCCCTTGGCACGACAAAGGGACCATGCTGTCCCCAGCCCTGTGCACTGCACCAGGATTGGGATGGGACCGGGATACAGCCCCACTGTGAACCAGGGCTAGTTGGCAGTAAAGGGGGTTTAGCTCAAAAAAGGGATCCTTTAGTCCCAAAACGAGCTGTCTCCAGCCCAGGCACGGAGAGCAGGGAGCACTGGGAGTGCTTGCCAAGTCCCCCCTGTCCTGGCTGGCACTGGCTGGGATGTCTGTGTTGCTGTCATGAGTTTGCAGGTCTCAGCTCCATCTGGGACCCCACCTTTGCTTCATCCCAGAGGCCCAGGGGCGTCTCTGCTTCCTCCCCTCCTCAGTCCTGGGGCCAAAGGTGGCCCTAAAGGCTGTGGGAACAATGGTATCTCCTGGCTGCCAGGAGCCCCATCAGAGCCAAAAATCCCAGTTTATGTTTTCCCTTTGGCACCCCCCTGCCCCTTTCCACAGGCAGAAACTCGCGCTGTGTGAAGCGTTTAATGATTTAAATAGCGACCGCGGAAGCTGGGGCTCCACACGGGATAAGGGGAGGTAAAAAAACCCAGAGGATAAACAAAAATAACTGGGGCTGGGGAGCGGGGGTGGCAGACAGGGGTGGTGGCCTTTTGGGGGGCCACCAGCGGCGCAGAGGAGGTGCCAGCAGCCCCTCACCCTGGCTCACTGCTCCTCGTCGTCGCTCCCGCTGAACTGGTAGGTGAAGAAGCCGACAGACTCCTGGGCCAGCTTGGAGAGGTGGATGACCCCGGTGACAATGAGGGCACCGAGCAGCAGTGGCAGCACCACGCTGCCCGCCGTGGCCAGGGCGTTGTAGCACCGCGCCTTGGAGCTGAAGTGCCGGGCAGCTTCCACGTCCCCGGACACTTTCCTGTCCCGAGCCTGCAACAGCCGAGGAGAGACCCTTCCCTCAGCCCCTTCCCTCAGCCCCTTCCCTCAGCCCCTTCCTTCAGCCCCTTCCCTCATCCCCTTCCCTCAGCCCCTTCCCTCAGCCCCTTCCCTCAGCCCCTTCCTTCAGCCCCTTCCCTCATCCCCTTCCCTCAGCCCCTTCCTTCAGCCTCTTCCCACAGCCCCTTCCCTCAGCCCTTTCCCACAGCCCTTCCTGCACCCCCTTCCTGCAGCCCCATCCTGCTCCAGGGCTTTGTTCCCCTTGCAACCCACAATTTATCCATCCATCCATCCATCTAGCATCCATCCATCCATCCCATGCTGCTCCTGCTCCCCTCCAGCCCTGCATCCTTTCCCACTTGTGTTTTCCTTCCTGCTCCATCCAGAGCCTCTCTGGCTCCAGCTCCTGCTTGTCCCCATTTTTCTATCCCCGTCTAGCCCAGCTGGAACTGGGATTTTCCCTCCTGCTTTCTCCAGAGTATCTCTGACTCTGGTCCCTGCTTGTTCCCATTTTTCCACAGCTGGAGCTGCTCCTGCAGGAACGGGGTGATGAAATCATGGCCCCCATGGTGCTTTTTAGGATCAAGCAGCGCTTCTTGGGTGGTGGGCAGGGGCTGTGGTTATCCAAGGCTGTCCCACAGCCTCCGGAATCAGCGGCAAGAAAAGCAGGGAGGATTCACCAGCGGCAGGGATTCTCCCTGCGGGGAGTGTTGGGATCGGCCGCCCCATCCCTCCCGAAGTTTTCCCAAGCGCTCGCCGCCTTCCCGGGCATCCCTCCTTGGCGTGGGGAGGGACTCCCGGAGCCCCCGAGCGCTCCGGTGCCCGCGGTCCCGTACCTTGACGGCGAAGGCGAGCGCCACGAAGCCCAGGCAGCAGAAGTTCATGTAGAGGGTGTTGAAGATGGCCCAGAGCAGGTGGTCGCGGGGCGCGGGGGCGGCGGGGGGCGGCCCCCGCTTGGGGGGCGGCCGCTCCTCCCGGGGGTACGAGGTGTCCATGGGCACCGGGAGGGACAGCCGCGGCTCCGGCAGCCTGGCGGGAGCGCGGCCCGCCGCCCTTTTATATCCCCGCTCCGCTAAATATAAACCGGGGAAATTACAGCCCTGGGGGATGTGGTTGTCCCGCAGGCCGGGCTGGGAGAAAGGCTGGGGTGGCGAGCCCGCGGGCTTTTAATAGCCAGCCTTCCTCCCGGGATGAGGAGGAGCGCGGGGGGCTCCAGCGTGACTCTGGCACGGCAGGAGGGTCGCTCCAAGGCGCAGCCCAGGACCTGCAGGGCGCTGGCTGGCACAGGTACCTCCAACCCCAGCCTCCAGGTGAGCTGGAGGGGGCAGACCCCCCACGGCAGCACTTTTGGGCTGTGGGATGGATGAAACGGGAAGTTCATATGGAAAGGTGGAAGAGCCGCATCCATGGGGCTCCCCGGGAGCCGGGGATGCACAGGGCTGCAGGGTGGGGGCGTGGGCAGCCAGAACACACGGAGGGGCTTTAATTTCCTTCTACCATCTCCAATGCGAAAAACACTGTTACTCTCTTGGTAAAATTGTAAGAGTTTAGTAAAGGATAGTAGGAGATAAGGAACACAGAGTAAAGATTACGGCTGGGCGTGTCTTGGTACTCAGTTAAGAGCACGCTGTTATCTTCGGAGACACTTCTTAAACACTTCCTTAAATCAGCCTGTTGTATATTTATAGACTCTTGTGTATAGTAAACTTCTTTCTTAAACTAGTTTACATATATTAAGAATCGTTCAGTCTGACTTTTTTGGTTTTACTTTTTTAGAGCATGTGTATTTTTTGGTTGTGGTTGTAGGGTTTTTTCATTACTAGTTTTAGTTCTGGCTCTGGCCCACACTGTCTTCAGATGGTGAGTGTTGATAGCTGGTGTATCTGTAAGCGTCTTTTTTATGTATTTATTGGATGTTATCTCATCTAAGCAGGCATTTTAACACAAGCAAGCTTATATTAGCTGTTTTACTACTATGACCAAGCTTAATTAACAACAGAAATAAAAACTATATCTTTATAACAAAGTTACTTTAATACTACACGTATAAAATCCATTTTAATATTTGCGAAAAGCCAATGTTATAATATGTATCTATAATATCCAAGATGTTGGGAAGAAACTTCCCTGGGATTTGGGCTGGAAGCGCCCTGCTCCGCGGCAGGATGAAGGCAGGGAGAGGAGCAGGAGGAAGAGGAGGAGGAGGAGGACGCCACAAAGATTCCCGAGGACTCTGCGACATCCCGCAGTGAATGAGGTGACAGCGAGGGGGTTTGGCGGGACGAGCTTCATTGGTGGCAGCGGTGACAGCGGACAGGTGTGTCACAGGTGCCAGAGGCGTGTGAGCAGAGCAAAGGGGCTGTGGGGGCTGTCCCCTGTCCCCACGCCCCAGCCTGGCCGCCCCGTCCCCTCCCGGGGCCGCGGGGGGACCGGGCTCACTCCCTTCGCCCCCGCGCCCCTCCCGGGCACATTTTGGGGGCAGGAGGAGGGGGGAGCACCCGGCGGGTGGGGCCAGGCGCTGGTCAGCTGGCCCTGAGTGTGGATATGGCGATGGCGACGATGATGATGAAGATCACCAAGGCGACGGCCACCACCACGGAGCAGACGATGTTCGCCACCCTGGCGCGGGCGCTGTGACGCCGGGCACCCTCCAGGTCCCCCAGCACCTTGCAGTCACGGGCCTGGGGGGCAAACGGGGGGCTCGGGGTGTGTGGGGCTCCGGCTGGGGGGCCAGCCCCCCCCGTTGTGCTGGGACCCCAGGGACGTGTCACCCGGGGCTCGGGGCGAGGCCACCGGGGGGGCCCGCGGTCCCGACACTCGGCGGGTACAGGATCGGGGGGGCACACGGCTTTGGGGGTCCCAGGGTGGGCTGGCATCGGGGATGGGAGACCAGATTGGGGGCCGGGATGGGAGAGGGGATCTGGGGATCCGGGGCGGGAGAGGCGTTTGGAGGGAGGCGGGCAGGGGGGAGAGGAGCGGGGGGTGTCAGGGAGGGCTGGGGGTCCCGGGTCGGTTGGGTGGAGGTCCGGGGTTGGGGAGGGAGCCGGGACACGTCGGCGGTCCCGTGCCGGGCTCGGTCGGGGGAGGGAAGCCCTGGGAGGGGCTGGCTGGGGGTCAGCCTGGGTGGGAGTCCCGGGGCCAATCAGGGTTAAATCCGGGGGTCCCCGGCCCCTCCCTCACCTTGATGGAGAAGACGAGCGGGGGGAAGCCGAGGCAGCCCAGCCCGCACAGCGCGCAGCACAGCAGCACATTGAACACCGACCAGAGCACGTAGTCCCGGGGCTGCGGGTCCGAGCGGGGGCCGGGGGCGGCCGCCCCCCACCCGGAGGACTGCAGTGGGATGGACACGTCCGCCTGCTTGGGCTCCATGACCGGGAATGAACGCCTGGAACGGGAACGGAGCCCGCTCAGGGCGGGGGACCGGCCCCGCACCGCCCCGCAGAAGGAGGGGGCACGGACCTCGGGGACCCCCACCCCACGCAGTCTGGGGGTGCAGGGCAGCTCTGGGGACCCTTGGGGGGTTTAAAGGGACTTGGGGGAACCCTGAGGGCACTCCGAGGGGACTTGTGGGGTGTTGGTGATGTTGGAAATTATATAAATTTTAATTATTTTAATGTAGCATTAGTCGGGAGTTTGTTTGTCTGTGCCAAGAGGGAGGGGAATTCTACGTTTTTCTTCGAAAGATTCTGTTGGCCGGGAGAGGGCCGATGATCTGAGCATCCACAGACTGGGAAAAGCCAGAAGACCGTTAGCGAACAATAAGGAACATTAGCGAATATTAGCGACCATTCGAGACCATTCACCAACGTCACCTCCCTGTCTGGGAAACTAATCGTTGAGAATCCCGAAAAATGAGGAACAAATTAGCATCGAAGGCGAAGGGATCAAGAACCCAAGGACTGCTAGGAGATCTGATGCTAAGAATTGTAATTCTTAAGTGTCAGTTCAGACCGCTGAATGAGAATTTCTTTGGGTTTTTGTCTGTATAGATATGGGAAACACCATGTGGATGGGAATGCTTTCCACTGCACGTGCACGCCAGGACAAAGTAATGCCTCCTTCTGGAGGGCTTCTGTTCTCCTCCCGAGTTTCGGTGGCATGTGGGCTGCGGGGAGCTGTCCATGGCAGCCTGGAGTGCTCAGAGGTGGGAGGGAGGGAGGGAGCGAGGGAGGTTTTGCCTGTGACTGTTTTGGGCTGTGAAAGGGTCAATTTTTTCCGTGTTGGCTTGTGTGGGGCTGCCCCTTGGATTTGTGCTGCAAACTGTTGATAAAAACAGGAAGGAGGAAGAGGGGATCTTGGAGCAATGGCCTTTGTTGGCCTGAGTTCCATTGGCTGTGTTCCATTTTGTGGTCCCCTTGGGAGGCCCTTTTCAGCTGCAGTGAGCCTGGAGCCCTAGGCAGGAAATCATCCTAGGGCTAGGGCTGGTCCCAGGGAAAAAGCTGTGAAGGAAGGGATGTTTTGGCAGTTTTGTGTTCCCCTTTGCAGCTGCAGTGAGCCTGGAGCCCTGGGCTTTGTGGTTTTCAAAACCCAAGCTGTGAAGGAAGGCATGTTGTGGCAGTTTTGTGCTCCCCTTGGGATGCCCTAGGGCTGGCTCCAGGGAAAAAGCTGTGAAGGAAGGCATGTTGTGGCAGTTTTGTGCTCCCCTTGGGATGCCCTTTTCAGCTGCAGTGTGCCTGGGCTGGGCAGCTGCCTAGTGCTGGGCAGGCGGCAGATTCCGATTGCAGCACGGAGCCCGTGTTTTCCGGGAAAAAAGCAGAGCAGAAAATGATTCACCAGAGGCTCAGTGCCAGGGATCCTGCAACAAATATCCGCTGTGTTTGTGAGTGGGATTTCTGAACTCTTACGAGTGCGGTGCCTTGGCAGGAGCCCGATGTTGGTGGGGAGAGGGAAAAGCAGCCTTTTTCCCATCCTTGAGGGGCCCCAGCCCCGAGGACCGGGCGCTGCAGAGGGCCAGGAATGCAGAGGGGAAGGTGGAGGCCAGGCCAGCTGCAGAGTGAGGCTCTGCCCGATGTCCTGGGGCCGGGATTTCCCATGTCCCCACCGGGGCCGGGCAGGGAGTGACACAGGAGTGACATATGTGGCAGCGCCGAGGCGCGAGGATGCCAGCCCTGCCAGCCAGAGACAGGGACCGCTGGTGCTCGGTGTGCCACAGTTCCCTGCCCCGTGGGACGAGGAGAGAATCTGGAGCACAGACGTGAGGGAACTGCCGGGCTGAGTTTGATAGCGAAAGCAAAATCTGCATGTGCCAGCCAAGTGAGACGTGGAATTCATTCCCTGCTTCCTGCTGCAGCTGTGCCCAGGCAAGTGGGATGGGGGCTGTGAGGATCCCACAGCAGGATCCCTGTCGTTGTGTTTGAGGGTCCCCAGGACGAGGGAAGAGATGAGAATCTTGAGTCCATGTTTCAGAAGGCTGTTTTCTTATTTTATGATATTATATTAAAATGCTATACTAAAGCCATACTAAAAGGAATGGAGAAAAAATACAGACAGAAATGTAGAAAAGAATGAAAAACAAAAACCTGTGACAGATAGAGAGTCCTGAACTGCAGGCTGTGATTGGTCATTAATTAGAAACAACTCACATGGACCAATCAAAGATGCACCTGTTGGTAAACTATCTCCAGGCTGCATTCCACAGCCATCAGATAGTTATTGTTTGCATTTCTTTTCTGAGGCTTCTCAGCAACTCAGGAAAAAATCCTGGGAAGAGGATTTCCATAAAATATCACAGTGACAGACCCAAGCTCACCTGGCTGCAGGGGAGATGTGGGATCCAGCCCTGGTGGGGAAACTGGGGATGGAGCTCCTGATCCCACCGGCCCCTTTCCTCTGGGAGCCTCTCCAGCCCTGCTGACCCTGCTCTATCCCATTCCAGCTCATCCTGCTCAAGCCCTTTGCACATCCTGCCCCACCAAAGCCACCTTGCATTTGGCTCTGCTTGCTGCCAGCCCCTCCTGAGGGCTGGTGAGGATGGGGTGCTCCTGGTGACACCCCAGTGGGGATCAGGTTCCACCCTCATCCTGGGTGTGACCCTTCCAAGAGCTTCACTCCCCGTATGGATGCAGTATCCAGGTCCATGGCACCCGGGGTGTCCCCTGAGCATTGTGCCCATGATGAGGGACAGTTTCCACCTCCCCCAGGCACATCCCACGGGCTGACATTGTTTCTCACCCTTGTCAAGCTGCTGTAGAAGAAACCGCAAACCACATCCTCATGATACGAAACCAAGACAGGGAAAAAGTGAAAGAAACCTTTATTTCAGGAACCAGGGTTTCTCTGAAACCAGAATTATTTGGAGGCAGTTGGGACTCCAGGCCCAGAGCAAAGCAACAAGCAGGCTGCGGCAGGCTTGGGGTGCTCAGCTGCTCTCTGGGGAGCACTGTCCGTCCCCAGACAGCTCCAGAGAGGGCAGCCAGCAGCAAGGCCTCCACAGAAGCTCCGAGTGGGGACGGAGCAGGGACAGGAGAGCAGCAGGCTCCAGCTGAGGCACGTGGACTGGCGTGGATTGTCGCTCCAAGGCCGGGCAGGCGCCGGGGAGGGAAGCACAGCCCGCGGGGTAAGGAGGGCACTTAGGTGGGGCCGTACCCGTACCCATACCGGGGAGGGGGGGGGACGAAGACCCCGGAGGCAGCCAGGGAGACCAGGACGATGACGATGATGACGATGGCGATGTTGATCACCAGGGCCGTGATGTTCAGGTACTTGGCCGTGGAGCCGTAGCTCAGGGCCCCGCTGTAGTCACCCAGCACTTTGCGGTCCCTGGACTGGGGACAGGCAGGGACAGAGTCAGGGGTGGGGGGTTCCCGGGGGGCTCAGGGCCGTGGGAGAGGTGCTGGAGGTGCCAGACCGGGCTGAACCCCGCCCAAAACACCGGGGATACCCTGAGGTGCCCGCTGCCCTCCCCTCTGCAGAGCTTCCAGCTGGGGCTCGGTGGTCCGTGAAGAGGGGACTCCGTGGGGTCCCTGGGGCACCCTCTGCTCTGGGATTTGGGGGGTCCACGGGTCACCCCCAGCTGAGGCTCTGTGGGGTCCACGGGTCACCCCGGGGCCGGGGGCTCTGTGGGGTCCACGGGAGTTCAGTGGGGTCCACGGGTCACCCCGGGGCAGGGGGCTCAGTGGGGTCCACGGGAGCTCAGTAGGGTCCACGGGTCACCCCGGGCTGGGGGCTCAGTGGGGTCCACGGGAGCTCAGTAGGGTCCACGGGTCACCCCGGGCTGGGGGCTCAGTGGGGTCCACGGGAGCTCAGTAGGGTCCACGGGTCACCCCGGGCTGGGGGCTCAGTGGGGTCCACGGGAGCTCAGTGGGGTCCACGGGGCATCCCGGGCTGGGGGCTCAGTGGGGTCCACGGGGCATCCCGGGCTGGGGGCTCAGTGGGGTCCACGGGAGCTCAGTGGGGTCCACGGGTCACCCCAGGGCCGGGAGCTCAGTGGGGTCCACGGCGCATCCCGGGCTGGGGGCTCAGTGGGGTCCACGGGTCACCCCGGGGCCGGGAGCTCTGTGGGGTCCACGGGGCATCCCGGGCTGGGGGCTCAGTGGGTGTCCCTGAGCTCTGGGACTCGCTGGGGTCCCCGGGGCAGCCCCCACCCCCGGTGTCCCCCCGGGCTCCCCACCTTGACGGAGAAGACGAACGCCAGGAGGCCGAGGCAGCAGAAGTTGCCGTACAGGGTGGTGAACAGGGACCACACCAGGTGGTCCCGGGGCGGCGGCGGCGGCGGCGTCTCCTCCACCATCACCGTGGTGCTCCGGGACATCTCCTCCATGCTCAGCTCCCCCGGCAGCGCCTCGTAGGGCGGCAGCTGCTGCTGCATCTCTCGGGCTCGGGGACAGCGGCGGCGACACCTGGGGCACGCGTGCTGCTGCCGGAGGTGGAGGCACCGCGGTTTCGTTTCCTCGAGATTTAGGAGGGAGCGGGAAGAGACCGCCCCTCCGGACGCCGCTGTGAGGGATCGGGAGACTCCTCCTCGGCGGCGGGGCAACCCCGGGCCCCATTTCCTCGTTCCCTGCTTAATCCCTCTCCTCACCCCTTTCCCCGCTTCTTTTGTTACCTCTTTATTGCCGGCTTCCTTCCTTGTCTCCACCTTTGCCCGTTCTTTGCCCCCGTTTTGCTTCACCGTTTTCTTTCCCTTTTCTTTCTTTACCCCCTTGTTTCCCTGTCCTTTTCCTTGTCATCTTTTTTGCCCCCTATCCTCCCTTCATCCTTTACCCCATTCCCCCCCCCCTTTTTTTTACCACCTGTATTGTCCTGTTCTTCCCTTTCCCCCTGTTTTGTTCCTTCTTTGCCTGCTTCTTTCCTTACCCTGTTCTTTCCTTTTTTTTACCACCTGCATTGTCCTGTTCTTCCCTTTTCCCCTGTTTTGTTCCTTCTTTGCCTGCTTCTTTCCTTACCCTGCTTTCCTCCCCCTTTCTTTTTTTTTTTTCCTCACTTTCCCCCCTTTCTTTATCCCCTTCATTGCCCCTTTTTTCCCTTGGCCCCTTCATTATCCCCCTTTTCTTTCCCTTCTTTCCCTCTTTCTCTGTCCCTGATCCCTGCGAAATCCCCAAATCCTGCTGGAGCCCCAAGCCCACCTCCATCTCCCACAAACACAGGGTTGAGGCCAGGAGGTGCCACTTTTTGGGGATGCCATTTGGGATCCCCGGAAAGCTCCGGCTGCTGCCGGGGGCTGCATCCCCCACTCAGGCTTCACGGTGTGAGAGTGCTTGCACTGTGTTAATGCACCGGAATCCGCTGGATACACTGTCCTGGAACCCTCTCGTGGCAACTCCGGGAGTGTTTCTGATTAAATAAACCGAACAAGCACGGCCCCGCCCTGGAAACTGGGATTTGGTTTCTGGGAATCGCAGCCCAGGGCAGTGATGCCCTCTAGTTTCCCCAGCCGTGAGTGTATTCCTTCCTTTAATGACGGATTTCTCCCGTGGTTTCGCCCCTAGCCTGAGCCGCAGAGCAGGGAGGGGACGCTTCCTCTGCCTGTGGGATGGGAGAGGAGGGGAAAAGTCCCGTTGTTTTCCACCCCTGAGCTGCAGAGGGAAGAACCAGCCGGCAGATCAGCGCACCGAGCTGCGGCCGGGCTGAGCAGGGCGGCCGAGGGGCCACAGAGCCGTGGCCCCCGGGCTCTCTGCACCCAGCCAGGGGCTTCCTGCGGATCCCGGCGCCCAGCAGCGAGGATCCCGGGGATCCAGCCCCCGTGGGACGCGCAGCGACTGGGAGGCAGCCCCCAGGGGATCCCCGAACCCAGTGGGAGGATGCTCCCGGGGATCCCCGCACTCATCATCCCGGGACGATCCCGGGATCCCGGCCCTGATCCCGGGCATCCCGGTGGGGTCCGTGCCCGCGGGTAGCGCCCCCCTGCGGACCGGGCCGGGCGCTTCAGCCCCCACCGCTGCCGGGCGGGAACGAACCATCCTCGCCGCGAGGGGGGGCGATCGGGGGGCGACCCCGCCAAGGCCCGTTTTACCAATCTCGCCGACCCCTCCGTCCCCTCGGCACGGATGCCCCGTTCGGTTCCGCCTCGCCGCCGCCCCGCTCTCCCGCCGCGGAGGGCCGGGGGCAGGGCCGGGGGCACGGCTCCCCCCGCGCCCCGCATGGCCGCGCCCGCGGCGCCCCGCGGGGCTGCCGGACCGTTGGCGTGGCGACGAGCGGCGCCTCCGCAGGCCCCGCCTCCGCGGCGCGCCCATTGGCGGAGAGCTGGCGGCGGGCGCGTCGCCATTGGCCGGCGGGGCCGTCGCTCCTGGGCGGGGGCGTGGCCGCGCGCGGCGCCCGCTCATTCATTCCCCCCGCGGGCGC